ACATGGACTGGTGAGGACGCAGTGGCATCCTCCACTGTGTGCTTACCAGGGGCCGAAGGGACGAGCGACTCTCGCGACCCACCGCAGGCCACCCTGCCTTGTCGCAGTGGCCGGCTGCAGAGAGCCATAACCGAGAGGGCCTCGCTGCCCATGCCTCCACGCCAGGCAAAAGGGGGAGGGAAGAAAAAATAACCACTCCATAGGATTTTTAGAGTTTTTTTTAATGTGCCTGTCCTTTTAATTCTTAGCCATAAGGCCATCGGTGGCAGAGTTCAACCATTTCCTACATTGGCTAACATTGTATTCTGGCTGACTAGATTAGTCTAACATTTTGTAGTTTATATTTGCACTGTTAACGATGTGTGCTGCTGGTATTTGAAGAACATTTGCCTCTGTTCTTTCACTTTAACTTCATACGAGCATTTTTTTACTCTGTGCTAGGCATTCGTTGCTTTTCTTACAAATACAAGTCATTTCTTGAGGCAGCTGTTTTTTGAGTTTTCTTTCTCCATTATCCCACCCCCTCTGAGCAAGCACTCGGGACTTGGTGGTAAGTATAGAGGTCTTGGCAATACTCGCCTCCCAAACTGTGTTCGATCAGTCTTTGCCTGGTGTTTCTGGCATGCCAGCCTGAGGTGTTGGGGTATAGCCTGTACTGGATCATTACCATTCTTATCCTCTGTGGGTCTCACCAGCTCACTTCCTAAGACCCTCGGTGGAGCTAATCCACATGTCTTGGCTATGTCGTACAATAAGTAATGTTGCCAGGATCATACCTCATATTTCTCTTTTTGGGGGCTGTGTAGTGATGTGCCACCAGATCTATCTGGGCACCTGACTCTCGTTTTCAAAGTTCATTTGATGATGGATCTGGTGGCTTGATGGGCAGCATTATACTTTTTCCTCTGAGAGAGTCTGGGTATTCGGAACAGGAGTCACTAAGCAATGTGTTCCACGGGGATAAGACCCATCTCCTGTAACAAATCTATTAGGAGAAGACTGTCCCCTGTAATTATCACAGATATTAATTATTAAAGAAAAAGAAAAAAAAAAAAAGCAACCTGCCTAGCAGCCAGACCTCTTGAGAATGTAAAAGTCATGACATGCTGTTGGGTACTGTGCTACTCTGTCTGTGATTAAGAGCTTTTCATCAGAGACGAGACCTACATCTTTATAAAACACAACTACTTTCTGTGCCATTAGGCCATCCAATTTCCTGAGGGCTGGCACCCTGAGCAGGGCACGGGTCCCATTGGTAACCCAATAGGGCAGATGGAAACGCACTTTGGCAATAAATTACTTTATGTCTGTTGGTGCTGCCTCTCTCGGGGGAATCTAATATAGTGGCACTCAAATTGCTATATGCATGCAGAGGCATCAGACTGGCTTTTACATGTGGTATCCCTGACAGTTCTCCGGAAGGATGCTGCTCCCAGGAGGCCCTGGAGCAGTGGGAACAGGTTCTCACAGGTGTAGCATGGCTCCTGTGTTTGACTCTCAACATGCCGTCGCGACTTCTCGGGAAGATGCAGAGCAGTTTCTATGGAAAATGCCAGGGAACAATCGTAGGCTTAAAAATCCTCTTCTGTGACTACAACTGAGCCATGCTCTTTGGCCAGTGAGACATAGACTCTTCTTCCCTGTCTTCCAGTGAGGCTGAGGTTATTCAGGGCAAAGCAGATCAGAGTTTGTTACTCTACCAGCCAGCCACAAACTTCTCCTGTAAAAGTGTGTGTGTGCGTGTGCTTGTGGCTGTACTCTGCTAAATGACCGGTTCAAGGAGGAAATGCAGCTGGCATGGCCAACCTCCAGTGTAGGCTTTTCCCACATTCCTTCCTTTTGCCTTCATCCAGCTGCATTCCTTTTAAAAATCCCATTGGAGGCAGGTTTCTTTGGGCCACTCTATCAACACACCTCACAGCAGGTGCCAATTTTTGCATCCATTTTGTAGCTTTTTTTCTCTCTCTTTTGTCAGGATTATTTGTAAAGTTATCCTCAGAGAATTTCCAACAGGAGCTTGTGAGCTTCCCCTCTCGTTGGTATGAGGAGTGCGTGCTGCAGAGTATTTGAGCTCACAAGGAGGCTGGGAGGAGAGCTAATTAGTGAGCCTGACAAATTATTCCAGTAGGAGTATATTTGGAACGTGTGGTTCGGATGCAGGAGGGGTTTGCACTCTGGTGCTGTGCAGACAAACAGCTCGCGGCACGGGCGAGTGAAGGTTCGGCCCAACACGTCTTCTTTCTCTGGGGTGAGTCTGAGTGAGGTTAGCTGCGGTTCAGCCAGTCCATTTCCTTGGCCTGAAGAGCACGTTTGATACGGCAGTGAGGATGTTTTTGTTTCACGTCGTGCTTTCACTCCGGCAGGGTGGGGCAGTTGTGGCCAGGAGTTCAGATTTTGACGTTTCCCACGGGACCCGCCATGTAGGATCAGTCTCCAAGTGCTGGCTGCTTCTGTGGCCTCACATTTTTTGTTGTAGTAGCTCCAAAATGACAACCTCCACTCCACCTTTTCTTTCTGATCCAAAGGCAGTAGAGCAAGAGAAAGAGCTGTGCAGTGCTGCTGTTGGAAGTGCCATGCGAGAAAGCCCTAAAGAGTTCCTTGCAAAGCTTTAACCCGCCCTCCTCTCCCATTTCCGAGTGCTTTGGCTAAATGTGGCAAATGGGAGCAGCCGTAGGGTGAGAAGGACTGAAAACCTCTCTACAGACAAGAAACCTGCAATAAACTCATGCAAAACCAGGGTTTTTTTCCCCTCATGGAAATGGTAGATGGTTTTAAGAATGGGTACCAACTGATATTTTGGTCAGATCCAAAATTAGGATCTGACTTCTAGGATTGTCTAGCAAAATCAGTGCAGTAGGAGGGTATGTATGTTTCATCCCCAACAAAATTTTTCATGCTTTTCCAAGTGTCTGTCATGGCCTCATCACTCTTTCCCTGTAGCTTTTTGTTGTCTGAATGGATATCTGGCTACATGTGTCTGTTCAAAATAAAGGGGATCACTTCTTACGTGGTGTATTTCTATTTCTCATGTGCAGATTTTGAGTGCTTCAGTTTCCAAGGCTTCCTTCTTTCTGTATCCCAAAGATCACTTGTTTGGCTTCTGGGATGAGAACAAGGGTGGGAGAGCCTTAAGAGGAATCTCTGCCCTGTTGAAGCTCTTGGTGATAGATCCCCTTATGAAAAGCCTTCAGAAATGTGATGTGAACTTGGTTTTTTATTTTTGAATACATGTGACAATTTTAAGAATTTTTTTTTTCTTTTTCTCCTTCCACTGGATGATTTAAACACCACAAAGAAAAAAAAAAAAAAAAGAAAAGCAGACCAATGAAAAGACTTGAATGCTAACTTCAGCTGAAAAGAAACAGCAACACTACTCTTGTGAGACAGTTCTCAGCAGTGTTCAGCTTACTGGTCCTGCTCAGCCTTTCCTTTCCTGCCTGCTCCCTGACCCTCTGTGACACTGAAATATCCACTTCTAGGACAACCTTCTTCCTAACCCAAAGGCTAAAAGTTCTTCCCTCTCTCTTCTCCTGTTTAAAATATCTTCCTTGCATCAGCCAGATCTACTGTTTAGAGGGATCAAAAGCTCTTTTCCTCCTGCCTTATTCCCATCCATATCAATATCCAGGGCTCTGAGTGTGCTGCTCTCCAGCGAGAGGTAAAATTTAAATCCCTAAATACAATAATTGGGATAGTAACACCAGCTCTAGATCACCAAAAACATGGGGATTTTTCAAGTCTGCAGTATCCTAATGAAGTAACTATCCTTGTTTGACAAACAATCAATTATTTGGGAGATGGAGCTAATTGCTGAAAAATAGCATTGCTCTGACTTGTGTTGTGGAAGTTTAGGAGCCAGCCTGAGGTGTTCCACTCACGGAAATGCCACAGGCTATAAAACTAATCCAAGTTTTGGTGAAACTTCAAAGGAAAAGACACTAAATTAACGTGATACAGGCAAGCAAATGCAATGGAAGGCATAGGAAGGAAAGCTGTTGGCTGTTGACGTGATTCCAGTTTGGATTCTAGTAGAGATTCCAAACTCAAACTCTCCTGGTGGCTTGGGCTAGTGATTTAATTTCTCTGTGCCTTGGTTTTGTAGCAGTGGAAGGGGCAAAAAAAGGAGCTGTCAGGCAATAATTAATGGATTATACTGTACTTCAAGGTCTTCCATGTGAGGGAGTAGCATTTTGTATTTAATGCTGATGAACCTTGTTTGTGACCAAAGTTGGAGACGGGGCTAACACCAGCACTCAGCTTTGGAATATCCTGACTAAACTTATCCCTGTATTTTACCATCACATCATGCAGTAGATCAGAGTCCCAAATCCAAATGTTGAAGTTCTCATTCAGATTTGGACTTTGCCTATTTTTGATCTGCTTCTGACCATGACTAAATGCATTCCCAAACTGTCCAGTTATTAAAAGAAATTTTAAAAAACCAAACCGACAGAAATGCATATAAAAGTTTCATTTAAACAAAGGATGCAGTTAGCAGTGCTAGCCTACAAGTCCAAGAGTGTGAACAAATCAGGATGTTATTATTTAAGGAGCATAGGCATGAAAGAGCACTTCTGGAGTACTTGTTATTGTCCAAAATATCACTGAAATTCTGATGACTAAGTACAGTCTGCTTATCTCTATTTGAAACAGTGCTCTATGGATTCACTATTTCTAAAGGTCTTCTTTCCATTTCTATATAGATATTCTCCCTTCACATTTTGAAGGTTTGAAGAAGAGGATTGTTTTTCGAGTCACACTAAGTAAACATTAAATGCATGCAGGCTTAAAACTAAAGCATGCATGTTATGTAGCAGCAATAAAAAGTGCTCGGCTTGCACGACTTATGATGCTCAAGCGTTGCCTTGTTAAAATGCCAAAAAAACTTTTTCTTTGCATTTTTTTGAAAAGTAAATCTCTTCCTTTGACCTTGCAATACTTAACTTTTCCATTTCTTTGAACAAGTGATATTTATTTTACTGAATGCTTTTATATTACAGATAAGGTGGATGAAATAGTGCCAGTTTCCAAGCCATCAAGAATTGCAGACAATGCAACTGTGGACTCCAGAGTGGCAACTATAAAACAGCGGCCTTCTAGTAGATGTTTTCCCTCAGCTACAGATATGAATGTGAGTGGGAGCCACGAAGTACTGCTTTATTCCTACTAATGTATCTAATTCCTAGTTGATTAAATAATGCCCAATGCTTTGTAAGGGAAGAATTGACATTAATACTATAGCACATATTAAAAACTAAATGCCAGCGCTCTGAAATTGCATCATTTAAGTGCAGAATTTAATCTTACAAAACTTTGCAGGTAAAAAAAATAACTGGTTTTATTGCATTTTGGACATACTTTTCCATTACCCACCTTAAGCTGTTGCCTTGTAAATAATGTCAACACACTCCACTTGCAGCTGCTGTCCTTTCATGAGTGTCTAAACCAAGCCCAGTCTTCCCTTTCTCTCCACCTCCTCCCCAGAAATAACCCCAGATTTTTTATTTTCCATAAGAATTCTCACTTCAAGGGGTAATGGATGAGGCATTACTTCCACATGGGAGAGACTTTCATGTTTTAATGCTGTTGGGGTTTCTGTTTGCTCTTTTGTAGTCCATGTATGAGAGACAGGGTATTGCTGTGATGACACCCACTGTCCCAGGGAGCCCTCAAGGTCCTTTTCTGGGTATACCTCGGGGTACAATGAGAAGACAAAAATCTATAGGTAAAATGCTTCTCTTGTATGGTTTTGTTCATTAATAGCATACTTTTAGTAACTTTGGTTCTTTCCTAAAGTGTGTTTCTCCGACATCTTTACCCCAGTGAGTGGCTGCTTAATCTTTATACAAAGAAAAGAAGTTTGTGTGTAAGGTGATGTGATTTCCACATTTGGCAAGTATGGAATTATAATTTGGTTATTTTCTTTAGAATGTTCCCTGTAATAAGGACCAAAAAAAAAAACAAAAAAAAAACCAAAAAAACCCCACTACAAGCCTTTTGCAAAACATTAGGGCAAAATATGATCCTTTTTCTTCCTTGTTATTGATGTGAAAGCATTGTAATGCTGTGTAGTTTACAAAGAAATCCTGTTGATCAAATGGACTAAAATTCACCTTTTTTTTCATTTCAAATGATAACAATAGATCTTTTTGCAACAAAGAAACAAAGAGCAGACCAAATTTGGGCTTTCTTTGTTCTTGTTAGTAATCTTAGCAGTGACTTTTATCAATTTAGAAACACATTATGCTGATGTAAAATTAGCATCCAAACTATCCCAGTATTACCCAATTTATGTTAAAAGCCATATTTTTAATCATATAATGTCGTCTTTTGAAATGCAACATTATGGGTTTTTTCCCCAATAGAATCTTCACAGTCCCTTTGCTAAATTTCAATTGCATCTTAAAAATTCATTACGTTTCTGAGTTGTTTTATTATATGCATTTGTAGAGTGCTGGAGCAAGGCAGAAGCGGCTCCTCCGCACAGAATATCTTCCCTGTTCAATAGTTTTCAAAGAAAATGTGCTTTTCTACAGCCACCTTGATGATACAAAAACCCCAAACATTTGCCTACACATCAGTTTAATTAAGATTCCGTAGCATCCTTTTCAATCCTGGCACCTGGGTTGAAAAGGTGAAAGAATTCTTATGGTGGGAAAGAATGCTTGTGGTGGGAATCAACCTAAAGGCCTCTTTTGGAATTTTGCATACTCCTCATGCTGTGGGGAATGCATCCTGGAATATTGGGTTGGATGGAGAAATAGTGCAGCGTGAGGGATCCCAGTGGATGTGGCAGTGTTTTGAAAGCACTCTCTGATTTTTCAGGAATAACGGAGGAAGAGCGGCAGTTTCTGGCCCCTCCTATGCTGAAGTTTACCAGGAGTCTTTCAATGCCTGACACCTCTGAAGATATCCCACCACCACCACAGTCCTTACCTCCCTCACCACCACCACCTTCCCCCTCTCTGTATAACTCTCCCAAATCCCTGACAACCCGGAGCTACGGAACGATCAAACCTCCATTTAACCAGAATTCAGGTGCAAAAATCTCTTTGGTTAGGCCCGAGAGCGTGGGGACGATGATAAGGGACAAAGGGATCTATTACCGGCGGGAGCTGGACCGATACTCCCTGGACTCGGAAGACCTGTACAATCGGAGTGCCGCAGCTCAGGCCAATTTCAGGAGCAAGAGGGGCCAGATGCCGGAAAATCCCTATTCTGAGGTTGGGAAGATTGCCAGCAAAGCCGTTTATGTGCCAGCCAAGCCAGCCAGGAGGAAGGGGATGCTGGTGAAACAATCCAACGTGGAGGACAGTCCAGAAAAGACCTGCTCTATTCCAATCCCAACCATCATTGTCAAAGAGCCATCCACCAGCAGCAGCGGGAAAAGCAGCCAAGGGAGCAGCATGGAGATCGATCCTCAGTCTTCGGAGCAGCCGGGACAGCTCCGGCCTGACGACAGCTTGGGAGTCAGCAGTCCGTTTGCAGCAGCCATCGCAGGGGCCGTGAGGGACAGGGAAAAGAGGCTGGAGGCGAGGCGCAATTCCCCGGCCTTCCTCTCCACAGACCTGGGAGATGAGGACGTTGGATTAACCCCACCAACACCACGGATGAGGCAGTCCAAGTTCACCGAGGAGGCAATGTTCAGCAGTGAGGATGGTTTCAGACAGCTCATGTCACCATCTCCGATCCCCGCCCCCAGGGAGCCCGAAAACCTTTTCAACAGTAGTGAGCCTAGCAACCAGAGTGACTCAAGGACATTGAATGCTCCATCCAAAACGAAAGGCACTGACAACAGTATGGCGGCAGCCAAGCCCACGAGCGCTCCCGGCTCGGATAGCTACGTCCACCCAGTCACAGGGAAGCTGTTGGATCCAAACTCTCCACTTGCCCTCGCGCTCTCTGCCAGGGACAGAGCCATGAAAGAGCAGACACAGCAGATTCCAGGAAAAGGGGACGCAGTCAAAACCGACCTTAACAAACCGCTTTACATCGACACCAAGCTGAGACCCAACATGGAAACGACTTTTCCTGTTACTGCCACTGTCACCAGGCAAAATACCCGCGGCCTGTTGAGACGGCAGGAGACTGAGAACAAGTACGAGATGGATGCAGGGAAAGAAAAGAAAGCTGAGGAGAAGAAGAACATGTTGATAAACATTGTGGATACGTCGCAGCAAAAATCAGCTGGCTTGTTGATGGTGCACACAGTGGATACGGCAAAGTCAGATGATATGCCCGAGGATGAGGAGGAAAAGGGAGCTGAGATGGAGCCGAGCCCTGAAAACTCCCCGCCAGAGAGGCCGGAGGGCAGCGAGGAAGCAGAGAGCGAGCTGAGCGTCCCTGCCGCGCCCGAGCCCCCAGCTTCTCCCTGCAAAACCATCGTGGCCGCCAGCTCTGTGGACGACCCCGTCATCCTGCCCTTCCGCATCCCCCCGCCGCCCCTGGCCTCAGTGGACATTGATGAGGAGTTCCTGTTCACCGAGCCGCTGCCCCCTCCCTTGGAGTTTGCCAACAGCTTTGACATCCCCGACGACCGCGCGGTGCCTGGCTCGGCGCTGACAGACCTGATGGCACAGAGGAAGAACGGCACCCCTTCGCCCGGCCAGCCAGCAAACTCCTTAGACGGCAAAAAGCAAGCGGGCCTCTCAAACTGTTTGCCTGCCTCCTTCCTGCCACCCCCCGACAGCTTCGACAACATCACCGACTCTGGGATCGAGGAGGTTGACAGTCGGAGCAGCAGTGACCATCACCTAGAGACAACCAGCACTATCTCAACGGTGTCCAGCATCTCTACCTTATCCTCGGAAGGGGGGGAGAACGTGGATACTTGTACAGTCTATGCAGATGGGCAAACATTTCTGGTGGACAAACCCCCAGTACCTCCTAAGCCAAAAATGAAGCCCATAATCAACAAAAGCAATGCACTTTACAAGGACGCGCTGATCGAGGAAACTGTAGACAGCTTTGTGATCCCTCCTCCCGCTCCGCCCCCGCCTCCCATCAGTGCCCAGCCCAACCTGGGGAAGGTTGTCCCCCAAAGGACATCCAAGCTATGGGGGGACGTGCCAGAGGTGAAAAGCCCGATTCTCTCAGGCCCCAAGGCTAATGTCATTAGTGAATTGAACTCAATACTCCAGCAAATGAACAGAGAGAAATCCTCAAAGCCAGGGGAGGGATTGGAGTCACCGACTGGAACGAAAACTGCGAGTCTCAGTACAAGGTAAAAGTAATTAACCAAATCGTTTTCTAAAAAGGCTTGATCTTTTTTTTTTTTTTTGCCATCCCTTTGCTAATTTCTCCTGTAAATCACATAGATAAAGGAAGAGTGTACTCTGTATTTGCTTAATCTGTGTCAAACAAGAATTTCTTACACTGTCAACATTTGTGTTGCCTGCATGATAGGATAGGAGCTTACTCAGCCTTCAGCTTCAAGGTTTGCACATACCTTTCTGTTGTTTTGGTGTGAATATCTTAGATTTCTCTTTAATTTTTTTTCTCTCTTTTTTTTTTTTTCTCTTTAGTTTCTTTCCTTTTAAAATGGGGTGATAATTTAATTTTTCTTCAGTGTCATGAGGTATTTTGGCTTCAAACAGGTAAAAAGTGTTTTTGCCAAGGGCTGCTTTGCATTTACTATGTGGTCTCGTTTGATTCATGCTGAGACCTCTCCTAATCTACTTAATCATAAAGTATTTCAGAGAATTTCTCATTAAAATTACTTTGCACTGTCCATGTTATTGCTAAACCACATCTGGATGGAATGTGGACATAATATCATGAAAACCACAATTATTGCAAAAAAAAAGCAAATTTTGTATGTTTCATTGGGAGACTGAGGTATTTTTTTCTTGCAAAAACACCATGCTGGCTTAGTTTTTTTTTAAAAAAGGTGCCACCTAAGTCAATTTTATTAGAATTATTCTGATGGTTGATAAATAGCTCAGCCTTTGGAAAGCTGGTGTACTTTGCAAGCATGAAGATAATTTGCTTTTAAGGGAAGGGTGTCTGCTGATTGCAAAGATTGCTCATTCAGAACACAGTGTGATCCACAGCCTCAGCATCACACAGTTAGACATTATTTCCTGCAGGATGGAAGTCATCAAACTGGTGACGGTGAAGGAATTAAATTTTTAAAATTGAGAAATGGGAATAAAACAGAAATTCTGGAATTCCTCTCAGTGGCACTTGACTAAATGGATTAGAAATTGAGTTGTGTCTGCAGGAAAAGCCTTCATACATGAAAAAAACCCACATTATTTTTGCTAGATGTTGGTCATATTTCTTGTTAAGGTAACATGAACATGTTGTCTGTAGCTTCATGTGTATAACATTATTTATCAGCTTTTATTTTTAAACTGAAAGGTATTTCCAGGTTACAGTGGAGATCTTTAGCATCCCTATTTTTTTAGAAAATAACCTAGACTACCAACTACAATGCACTGTAAATATGTAAAAGTATTCTCATTACTGAGAGCAAAATGAAAAGCAGAAGTAAACAGAAATACTTTTTCTGTGAAAATATATTTTTAAAGGTATAAAGGGTGGGGAAAACTTGAAAAACTATAGCACTTCACTAGAGGAAAACAAGCTGTTATGTAAGCAGAAGTAGCCCCATATGTTACCTTTTAGAGGAAAAACTGACTTAGTGTTACAAATTTATGTTGCTTTTTTTCCTCTCCTTGAGGTTTTTTAATTTTTTTAACTCAGCTTTGGCAAATTACTACATCTTCATTATGGAATACAGAAGCTTAACCCCACCCAAAGCATTATTTCAATGGGGCTGAAACCCTGCTTCTTCCCTGAAAAGTTAACACAAACACTCATCTTTGCAAGCTGGAGAGAGGATCCTGGAATGTACCAGAGCCAAAAGAGCTACGAGGGCATAAATGGGATAAGTTGGCAGTGGCAAAGAGCAGGAAAACTCTTGGCTGTTATTTGGCTGTGGGAGAAAATGACACCTCCACAGCATTCCCGGTGGGAACAGGAGACAAGAGGGCTGGGTTTTGTTTCCTGCCATTTTCCAAACTGATGTGATTGCTTCTTAATTATGAGCTGTATTGAAGCTGCTAAAACCACCAGGAAAGGTTGCTAAGGATTTCTTTTTAAAGCAAATAATAATCTAGGAGACAGCAGAAGAGAGCCAGCAATCTACAGATGCTGGAAGTGTGTTTGAAAAGGTGCTGCAGGCAGAGTCTTTTCATCTCAACCAGGGTAAGGCAGAGAGATGGAAATGGAGATGTTCACTTCTGGAATCAGAAGGCCTGTGGTTTTTTTTCACTGCTTTTACTCCCACTTTATCTCTCTAAAAGTTGAATAAATTACAGCCTTTCTAGCCCAACTGCATGGCTGACACAATTTTTTTTTACAAAGCTGTCAAATATTATGACCAAGGCATCTTGTGAAAATTTCAAGTGTAAAAGCTAATGTTTAAATTTCAAAGGTAAAATTCCTGGAGTTCCTTGCTATTTTTTTCCCCCTAATACTCTAAAGCTTGTGACAACCAATTGTTGATCTTGCAGCCCTTCCCTGTGAGGCAGCATTAGAAAGGGACCAAGGAATTTTGGCTCACAAAAAGCAGGGACTCTGCTAAATTAAAGAACAACTCGTTAGCTCTGTGAACAGAGCAGTGATAATAAATGGGCCTGTTCCTATCCTTCAGCCAAGGAGAAGGATTGGGAAGGGTTATAAATAGGAACAGCGTTCACAGGCTCGCTTGGGCGGTGTTCACAGCACAGGCAGCCTGATGAAATTAAAAATATGTATCTGCTTATGGGGCCATACATACAATTATAGGCCAGATTGGAATCCTAAATCCCACTGGGAATTCTCTTTACACAGCCAGTAGATGTAAAACTGGGGCTCACTCTAGGCAATTGCCCTCTTAGGGTGCCACAGGGGTGAATTAGACCACAGAGAGCTGGGTAATTACTGGCTGCAGTAACCCATAAAAACACCTTCTTTGTGTGTTTTTGATAAATGGAGATAAGGAAGAGATGGTCCTGAACAGCATTTCTCATTTATTACATTGAAGCCACCCTAAATTTGCTTTTATTCTCTGCACCTTGGTTTAGCAATCATTTTCCATGGTGTATTTATAGTTTTCCCATGGTTCTTATGGAGACACCGAGCTTCAAGATTTTTAAATAGAGCATGGAAACGCTTGGCTGGAAACCATCTGCTCCTTCATCCTCAGTGGCAGTGGCCAGCCCATGGGATAGGAAAAAGGAGCCCAGCAGGAGAAGGGAAAAGAGGAAGAAGTGAGAGGATGCCCTTGCTTACTTTGTATTAATTGAAGTGTAATTAAAGGGTTTGATCACAAGGTTCAGGAAGAGACCTCCAGATCCCACTCCCAGTTTTGGCCACCATTTACTTTGAGGAATTATGGCCATCAGTTTTGGTGACAGAGGTTTTAATCTGATTTATCCATGTCCTCCTGCAGGCGAGGAGGACAGGACATATCAATCACAATAAATCCAGCAGTGCTATAAATCCACTTGAGAGGCCTCTGGCTTTTATAGGGAGCTGATGAAAGAAGGGGTAGAAGAGCAGAGCAGGGCTTTCCCTGGGAGAGAGGAGGAGTGTTTGTTGTGTCTGTGACCCTGCAGTCCTGTAGCAACACGACCATCAGGAGCCAACCCCTGAGATCCAGGGCCTGAGGCAGCGTGGCTGAGGCAGGATAAACCCAGGGGCTGCCAGGGACACAGCTCAGCCCCCAGGGAACACAGCATCCTGCCTCCCTCATGCCTCTGGAACACTGATAAGGAGTAATGAACAGCAGCTCCTGCTGCTCTCCACCAGCACCACACCAAAATGATCCATGGCTTGGCCAGAAGGAGAAACACTTCCAGTTTTTCTGTCTTTGTCCAGCTGTGTTTGCACAATCCTGTGACCTCTGGGGCACATTGGCATCGCTGCTGGCAGTGGGAAATACTCATGATAAATGTGGGAGTTATGGAGGCTGCTGTGGAAATTGAGTCCTCTAGGAAGAATAACCTGCATTGTGCTGGAATAACAAGTTTTAAAAGTGAAACTGGCCAGTTTGAGTGAATGAATTCGTTTTTCATTAGTATTTGGAGAAGTTCCTTTTATTTTTCCACAAGCAGGTAAGAACAGAACTTAGCAGTGAGTCCTTTATAGAGAGTGATCCTACATTTGGTTTATGGTAAAGGATGTCTGAGTTTGGCAGAAGATGAAATAAGTGCCTTGATTTTTCACTTTGCTGCTCTCCATTAGACTCATTTCACATCGTTAACTGTTTGCCAGCCAATTGCACAGGATTGCTTGCTTTGTCAGTGATTTCTGCAGTGTTTCAGTCATTCCATTTTGTCATTTTTATTTGCTGTCATGACTGCTGTTGTCAGAGGAGGGCCATGCTGAAGTGCCATGAAGTAAGTGCCAACCATAAAGCATAGACTATTCTGTGTTGTACATTCTGCTGCTTTTTAATGCTCACCCATTGTTATTGCATTTCAGTGACTTTGGTGGTGACTGTGTTTCTCACAGTGCAGTGTGGATTAGATCATCCTAATCCAGAAATGGTAGCCATCCTAAAATGGGACCTAGGATCATCTCAAGGTGAAATAAAAGCCACACTCATCAGAGGAGTACTCAGAAAAATGTGTTGGTAACATGAGCATATAAGACCAGATTCCTGAATGTGTCTGAGCACCTAAACAAGGGGCAGGACTTTTCAGATATGGCCAGGTTCTGCCAGATTTTGGGAGGTGGAGGGGTGAGGAGGGATGATTAGTACAGTTTTACACACCTGTGTGAGGCTGAAAGTAAAGACAAACCAGCCTGTGTGGTCGTCCTGTCCTCGAAAGCTGTGGAATTCCCCCCGTTCTCCTTCCAGCTTCCCTTTCCCCTGCAGTTATCCAAGCAGAGAGGGCTGAGGCTGCCTCCTGGCCTAGCACCATCCCCTTCCCTCTGCTTTCCAGACGTTTCACATGGAAACTCCTGCTCCTGCACAGACACACTCCCGCAGACCTTCCTGACTGTTCCTCGCTGGCAGCAGACACCAAGCAGCTCTCAATTCTGCTCCCCAGATAACGCCCTTGTGAGGAGCTCTGCATCCTGCCAGTCATCACCTCAGCCCTTGTTCTTCACCTGCCCCCAAAACAGACAATTCTTTCTTGCTTTCCTGCTGTGCAATTTGCCTCTGACAACAAAGTAAAAAAATTCAGAGGTGAAGGCAAAGTTTGGGGTTTGTGCGGCCTCCAGGATCTGTAAGAATTTAATTTCTTGCCGTACCCCTACACAGGGACTTCAGTTATTACTCCTCTTGGTTTTTAAGGTGTTTTCCTTTGATACAATGGAAAAGCTGTGTCAGAACCAGCAAGTCTTCTGGAAAGTTCTAGGGTAAAACAGCTCCCAGGAGCTGAGAATAATGTAGGGTTTTTTATTTTTCGATGGGAGCTGCTGCACTGATTTGCCTCTGATATTAAGTTAACAGTAAATTTGAATCTTGCAAATATAATTTAAAATTTAAAATAATTTTTTCCTACAAGCCTTGCTGATGGCTTTTATACTTGAAGGCCATGTGGTTGTGACATATAGGTTATATATTTTGATTTTAATATGAAGCAACATAATGGGCATTGCAATCCATGCAGGCTCACAGCAGCAAATGTTTATAAATTACCACCATATGCTGATTCCAACAGAGCAAATTTTATTTAAAATAATTATCTGACTTTTCACCTTTTTTTTAAAATGAAGTTTGGGGTTTGGCAGGTTTAATATGGATTTAACATGTTTAGGATAACAGATGATCAAATAAGGCATAAAAAATTGCTCTGATTAAAAATCTGGAAACCCCGTAACACAGCAACCCAAGCCTGCTCTCCAGCTGGAATGTGCTCGCTCCTTATTGACCAGGGTACCAACCAACCATAAAATGCAAGACAGATGATGGTTTCAAGGCTGTGTCTGCACCCCAGAGCATGTGGGAGATGTCATAAATTATAATTTAGGATGCATAGGAGTTACATAAATATCCTTGGGTTTTTTTTTCCCTTGGATTACAATTACAGTGCAGCATGAAAGAATGGAGTTGATATGGCAGGTGGAAAAAGGGGAAAAGAACGTGGGAAAATAATTTTGGAGTGAAAGGCATGGAACTGAAAACCTGGCAGTGCTTCAGCAGACTTCCCTGAGCTTCACCAAGTCTGTGCCCATGACATGAGAGCTGAGCACTCACATGGCTATGAACTGAGTTGATGTTGAAACCTCTGCAATCAGCTAAATTATCATATCACTATCTCAAGAGTTTTGTTTTTATAATCAACAGCCCTGAACCTCTGGCTTGGAAAAAGCAAGATGCTCTCAGTTCTCCTGCTGCTGCTTGCAGCCATGTGAAGCCAATGTTTAGATCCAGGCTGACAGGAGGCAAAGGACCAGAATGCCTGGGATGCTTTGCTCACCCTGAGTATTCCTGCCCATGGGGCTGAGAAAGTTAAAGAACACAAGCCAAGGAATACTTCAAGTGAGAGCACAGAGTTTACTTTTGGGGGCTTTGTTTCTTCTCTCTTATCACCCTTTATTTAAAGGAAGAGTGACAGCAATTTCCTGAGCAAGACTGGCCAGGCAGTCTTTAAGAGGAGCAGTCTGGAGGAAAAGCAACAAGATTTGCAAAGCACTGAGCCTGGAGCTGTCATTCAAGCTGTAGAAATTATCTTTCATCATCTGGAATAAAAGAAGGTGTATTTTCGTAATCCATTTGATCTTGCCACAATGGGTGTAAATACAAAACCCTAATTTCTAGTATTTGCAAGACAGGAAAGTAGGCAAAGATCAGGGAGTCATTTCTCTATTTATACAAAGCTCATTCTTGCCATCACTAGGATAGCACTACCCCAACCTTTTTCAAAGCAGGCTTTTTGTTGGATTTAAATTATATCATGCCTTACTAATGAGTGTGAAATCCTAGTGCTGAGGTAAAGGAGGTGGAAATAACTTGCTCCCCTTGGTTAGTAGAATTTAATAGTCTCTTGCCACAGACTTTTTATTTGTAAGAATGCTTAGCTCCAGCCTTGGAAGACAATGAGAGGCATTAGGTGCCAAAAACATCACAGGAAACACTCAGAACCTTGCCAAGTGTTTCCTTTCTGTGTTAAATTACAAAGCCATAAGTGCTGGAAGCATTGTTCCTACTGGGTTTTAAGTGAAGTACCAATCTTCCAAAGAGATCCCCCTGTTCCTATTGATATCCATGGAGCAGCCTGTGGGAAATCAGTGGGAATGTTGGTGTGAATTAGATGTGAGCTCTCCCAAAAGTGATTCTCGGTGCTCTTCTCATGACAGGGAGCTTTATTTGAATGGGACCTGCCGAGATGTTGGTGTGGCAGAGCTGTACCTCTCTGGGCTCTGGGTTGGTGTGAAGTGCCAAAGCCCCAGGGATGATTCAGGGAATACTCTCAGGGCTCTCCGCAGGTAGCAGCCAGCCAGGGAATCACTGTATCCGGCTCAGGGCTGCAGTCTGGGAGAAAGGGATTAATAGTCTATTTGTTAGCACAGCCTCATGTTGCCCTTGCCCTGGTTTTCCTTCATCTCCTTGAGTTCTTTTCTGCACAGCAGCGCAGAATTAATGCTGTGCTGGATTCATGGAAGCATTTCCATCTGACAGCATGCACTCAAGCCATCCTCAGTTCCACCCAGGCAGGACAGGCCAGGTCTGGGGACAGTGTGGCACTCAAAAACAGAACTCAGAAACAGAGGGCTTCTGTCAGGGTCTGCACTGGAAATCTCAGTAAAGCATCAGCCACATCATCCTCTGGACTCCATGGCATTGCTCCGAGGATAAATAATCCCTTCCTTTGGTCTGCAAGTGCTTTAAATTAGTTGTCTGAACGTTTTCTCAGTTGGCAGGTTATTTCTGGAGTGAAGAACGCTGGAGCTCCAGGCATCCAAGGGCTCTGTGGAGCATCCTGAAGTGTGCACGCTGACCGGCAGGCTCTTCCCATGGGAGTGAGGGCTGTGGGGCCAAGCCTTTGATGACATGAACAGACCCAAAGCTTCTAAATTTGCTTCTGTAGCCAGCAGGCAGAAGCAGAGGGTCGTGTTCCTTCACCCACCCTGTCAGGCTGGGCATCAGAGCGAGCCTCCCAGCGAGGTTCATGCCTGCTTCATTTGGAATCTAAAACTCATTTCCTTGATCCCAGCTACATCACCTCCAGTCATGCACAGGAAAAAGAACTTTTGTCTCCTTAATTTTGTGGTGAAACTGCCAGAGTATAATTTCTCTGTGGAAGGAAGTAGACACTGAGATGTTTCAGGCACCTTAGAAGGACTGTTTTATGATTAAATCATGGATAGAAAGGGAAATAAGAGCAGCTTGTTCTCTAAACAAACAGCACTACAAACATTCTGCAAAATTCACTGAGTGAAGCCCAAAGATCCAAAATCCAGTGCTCCTGAAACTTTCCACTGCTACTGTTATTAGCTATGTTATGTGTAAAGCCAGAACTGAAGGATTCCAGCCCTCCACGTGGCAAAGGGAAGGTCAACTTCTGGTCGTGCTTCGCCGAGTACAAAGTGCTTGTTCCACTCAGCACTTCTCATTTAACCAGGAGTTAATTTTGGGAACAGGTATTAAAAAGTGGTGTGGTCTGGAAGGTGTTTTTTCCTGGATTGCTCATAAGCAAATGTTTTGTCTTTAACTGTGGCTTACCATTGTTGCTGGTTTTCTGGGAAAGAGTCAATGATACTATTTTTGTACTTTTAGTTAAAATGTGAAACTACCCAAGCATTCCCATGCTGCAATTGCCACGTGCTGATGGGGCCATCCTGGTGGCCAGCAGCTCTAACTGTGCCTGTCTGTTTGCACTTGCAGGAGCACGGAAGTCATGAGTACTGTCTCAGGTACACGAAGTACAACAATCACTTTCACTGTCCGACCCGGAGCCAGCCAGCCGATCACACTGCAGAGCAGGTCCCCAGACTATGACAGCAGGACCTCAGGAGCAAGGCACGCTCCCAGCCCTGTGGTTTCACCAACAGAGATTAATAAAGACATCCTGCCTGCTCCTCTGACTGCTTCTGCTTCAGCCTCCTCTCCTTCTCCAACTCTGTCTGATGTATTTAGCCTACCCAGCCAGCCCCCTTCTGGGGACTTATTTGGCTTGACCACAGGGCGCAGCAGGTCTCCTTCTCCCTCAATATTACAACAGCCAATCTCAAATAAGCCTTTTACAACTAAGCCTGTCCACCTGTGGACTAAACCAGATGTGGCAGATTGGTTGGAAAGTCTAAACTTAGGTGAACATAAAGAAACATTTATGGACAATGAAATAGATGGCACACATTTACCAAATCTACAGAAGGAAGATCTGATAGACCTTGGAGTGACTAGAGTTGGGCACAGAATGAACATAGAAAGAGCTTTGAAGCAGCTGCTGGACAGATAAGAATAGCTATTTTGCCTCACAAACTTCTGTTGATAACTAGAGATGGGCTGGTACTGACATACCCCAAATGCCTTGTCTGTCTGCGAGTGCCAGCAAAATTGGGGGGGAGGGGGAAAACAGATGAATTCCTGGTACTCAGGTGATGCAGACTGTCTGCTACATGCCCAAACACAAACCTAAAGATGCTAAAGAAGTGGGGCCATTTTATTTCCAAGCTGTGGGGAGATGTGAGAGAGAGACAATTGTTAACTTTACAACTCTTGATACTGCTCTTGGCCGGGACCATTGTGTGATGATTTTCTTTTAAAATTGCAAACATTTCAGGGTTTCTTTTACTGACAGAAAAAAAAATATTGCATTTTATTTTATTCTCTTCTTGACATACAGTCTCCAAGCAGGCTTCCTTCCCCAGCCCTTTGTTGATTTTAAGAGGACAGGTTGCTCCATTACCACTCAAACCTAGTTTTATCAGCAGCAGGGATATTGAGGTGGGCACAGGAGTTCATATTCCTCTTTTTTTACTGGCATAGCTCCCTGATCTGTTGGCAGTGAAGCTGGTTGTTCTGCTGGGGTCAGTCCAATGGTAACCTTGCTCTGTTTTACCTGGTATTTCTTTATTTCTGCAGTGGTATTTAGCACTCTTCCAAGGTGGCAGAACAAGTTCAGTGCACGCTCCATTGACGTGGCCTGTAGGATGGTGCAGATGTTGAGTAAAGGCTGAGGAGGGACCACACTTAGAGGTACAGAAAAGTGAAGCTAGTTCGAACCTGAGACCCCCTCCAGTTCTCAACCAGCTCAGCTGATGCTGAGTCAAAATATGAGCTCCACGAGCCAGGACAAACTTTGGTGTGCAGGCACAGCTTTGGGACTTGACAGTGAGACACTGAGAGAGGCTGAGCCCTGGGAGGTGCTGCTTAATTCAGTGAGTGGTAAGTGCCTGGGTATTTTGAACAGCAGGCTGAGAAGGAAGGAAAAGAGAGATGAATGTTCCCATTGAAGTCAGTGGGAAGTGTGCCAGGATCTGAAGTGAGAGAGGGATTTCAGCCTGTTAGGATGGAAATGCTTCAGATCCTTGAGAGGAGGCAGAGAGGTGATGCCAAGATGGAAAGAGCTGTCGAGTGTCTCGGGGTGCGTTCCGAGAGCCAGGAGGGCTGGGAGGGATCCAGGCTCTCATTTTGTCACTGCTGGCAGGAACTGGCTCTGGACAAGGACACAGGGCCGGGCACTGGCCCCCAGCCCATTCCTTGGCACGAGAGGTGGGAGCACCCTGCCAGAATCCAGTGCTGGGAGCGGGGCAGAGAGAACTTTCCAGGAGACTTCTGTCAGCAGGGGAGAAACACCCACAGCTGGTTCACACAGCTTTGTTTTAAAAGAATAAAAAAAAGATTTTTTTTTTCAGCTTTCAAGTTAACAAGTCTCTCTCTGCATGTTTGAACTCCCCCTTGTAATTAACACCTCTGAATATCTGTGAGTTTTGTAGGACTTTCTGGACAGAATATTGAAGATGTTCAAGGCGGGTGAATTGGGTGTGGATGGCTAAACTGCCTCCCTACCAAACTTTCAGGTTCCCTTGCATTTTGCAAGGTACCTGAACTTTCTTTCCTTGATATGGTCCTTGATATGGTCCAGCCTATCTCTAATTTTTTTATTATTGTGATTATTTTTTGCTCACAAACAAGTGTCTAATTAGGTCTGCAACAGCCCTAGTATGAGTACATAAAGTTTAGCATTTTAAATATCTTTCTTTACTGCAAGTTTAAATAGTTGTACAGATAGTTTATAAGCACAATATTTTAAGAAAATAAGTGGCTGGTCTACTGGGCAGCCTTTGTGCCACTTCAGTGCTAGGAAGTTAAAAACAGAAAAAAAAAAACCAAACAAAAAAAAAAAAAAAAAAGGAAAAAAAAAACTTTTTGTGGTTTACTACTATTTCTGTGGAATAATTATAAAGTCTTGACCTTTTTAAAATCAACCTCATTTGGATGCATCTGAACCAGCAGAGCTGTGTTATATTTTCTATCTTTGCTAGAACTTCTACAGAGGAGGATGAATATTTCTTCAAAAGTGGTTACAGTTACCAACGCATTGGAAACTCATAAAAATCAACTTATTTAAGCCTCCTGCCCCCTTTATGGAACAGCAAATCTTTTGACTTAACATCTGTTACTGCACTCTGTTTGTATTTGGGGAGTTCCAAGGAACCTTGTCATAAAAACGAAGCTCCGAGGCGTTTTGCTGTCGAGGAGTGCTGAGTTTTTCCATGGGAGGTGTAGAAAATGGCAGTTCCACTCAGACAGGTTGATGTAGGCAACTTGAGGCCATCACACACTTTAAGAAGTGAAAAAAAAAAAAAAAAAAAAAAAGGTAATTTAGCCATCTTTTGTCTTCCATTTGGTGATACAACAGAATTCAGTAAATAAACCACTGATGCCATGCTCTCTTTTTTTTTTTTTCTTTTTAAATTTTTTGTTTGTTTGTTTCTTTGGGTACAGTTGCTATTACCTCTATAACACGTGCCAGAAATGCGTTAGGAAATAAGTACAGTAGTAAAAGGAAAAAAAAAAAAAACCATAGAAGTTGACTTTTAAAGCTGCTTTTTTTGGATCACAACCTTCCTGTTGGTTGAACTTGCCCTGAGCAAGCGCTGACACACCCAGTGACCCCCAGGTGGGACCGTCCCTTCCTCACCCAGGTGTGGCTCCTGCTCCTGCATCTCTTCAGGTACTCCAAGGGCAGGCACAAAACGAGCAGAGGAAAGAGCTGTAAGGGAATAGTTTTATTTTTCACCTTGTGTCCTATGAAGCAAAAAGGTAAGGAGACCTGAGGGGAGCTACTTGGACCACCAGAATGCACCTCTGCCAAGTCGAGTTCGGTCTCCAGCTCTGAGGGGTGGTTTGAAACAAAAAAAAAGAAAGCAATAGTAACAGATAACGCCGTGGCCTCCGAGTATTTTCACCAGGGGGGAGGAGAGAAGACCCATTTCTTTCATGCTACTCTGATAGTGAAAAACAAAGTCATTAGAGATCTATGATATTCTGGGTTTTAGGATCAACTTTTGTTTATATACTGTAATTTAAATAAATTGCATTTACATGCCTAGTTTCTGTAATATTTGTGTATACAATACCAAAATCTTACAAGATGTAAATTGTGTATAACTGCACAGACTCCTTGCCCTAGGTGTCTGAGAACATTTTAAGTTTAATTCATATATTATAAAATGACTAGATGTGACTGTTGATTTACAGGATTTACATATCACAAAGAAGTTAATTATTTGTGGTACTTAAGTTAATAAAAAAATAGTGATTTTTTTTTCTTTTCCTCTCAGTTCTTAGAAAGCATTACCCAGTTGATCTGGCGATGATTATGTGTATGAGCCACAAATATTGATAATTTTTCCATTACATTTTTTCTTTTATTTTCTAGATACTAATATGTTTCTCGCTATAGTTTGTGTAACAACTTGTGTTCACGTTATCTATGTTGCTGTAATTTTTGTGCTTTAATTCCTCTTATTTCAACTGATTAAAAAAAAAAAATCAAGCTCCTGTAACTTGCACTTTTCCCCAATCCTTAATACTCTTGTATGGCAACCAAAATTACTGTAAGAAATAAATATAATATTGCACTAAGGGTGTGGTTCTGATTGCAAACAGAGAACACTGTCTGGATTTTTATTAAGAAAGAAAAAAAATAAGTTGCCAAAAAAAAAAGTTGCAATTTGTCATTGAAAACGCATAAAATGCTTTAACAAAATGTAGATAGAACTAAGGGAAATTATTGATTTATTGTTGGGAAAAGCATTTCCTGTTTAATTTTTTTTCCTTATGCCGAATGTTCTGTTAATTTACTGAATTTCAGGGGTCACACTTGAAATCTGGAAAAGCAGGAAACTTTGAAGGGGACAGGTAGAAAATTGCATTATCTGATTTTTTTTTTTTTTTTTTTATGTGTGGAATGTTCTTTGTTGGGGGGAACGGCACGCCCCGAGCTTCAGTGCTGCTGCTCTGCGATTTCTCGGGGCACTGAAAAGTGCGGGCTTGGGGATTTCGTTTTTATTTGGGGCTCTGGGGTTTCTCTGGGGCAGAGCAGCTGCGCAGAGGGGAGGAGGGAACAGCGCTCCTCGTCCGACTTTGTGCATCTTGTCACTTTGAAATCTGTACCAGCGGGCTCTGTTTGTACTGTGAATAAACAAGGCTGCGAATGGAAAAAAAAAAAAAATACAAAAAACAACCAAAAAAAAAAAAAAAACCAAACAAAAAAGCGAGGAAACAATTCTCATCTTCTTTTGGCTTAAGTTAAAGATTTGTTTTTCTGTCTTTAAATGGTGATGCAATGAAGAGTATTTTTTATTTTTATTTTCTAAGATATTGGAATAAATGCCTAGAACCATTGCCATTTGGTTTCATATGTTCCTTAACTACGAATCTCTTCTCAGCTGTCATTCTAGCTCATCATTTTTGTAGCCCCCGTTACTATTTCTCTCATGATTTCCCAACAACAATTACTTGGCAGCTTTGTTTTGTTAAAATCATAAACTAGAACCAGCCTGTTTGGGTTTTTTATTTACTTATTTCAGGTATTGTGGCAAACATCTGTGTATCCAAATAAAGTCAGGTATTTCCAGTGCAAAACAAAGAATGCTTTGCAATTGTCACTGCTTGTTGGCCAAAGAAATGAGAAGAGTTGATCATTGCTGTCATTGTGTACATTGTATCAATGTGTTCTGCTTTATTCTTTGGTTTCTGTATTTTTTTTCTGTATTTTTTTTCCTGTATTTTCCTGCATTTTGTGGACTTTCATCCCCTCTGTCCTTGGCTGGGCCACCCCGAGTAGCACGATTGTAACAACGCTTCAGAATGTGTGTTTTTAAAAAAAAAAAACAAAAACAAAAACAAAAACAAAACAACAAAAAAAAATTGTACGTGCCTTATAATTTTCCACCTGGATCAGCTACACTGTATTTCACATAAAAAGCTTTATCTTCAGGGTGTTCAGTACCTGACAAACAGAGAGTGCTGGGGTTGGAGTGAGCTCCGTGTCACTGCTTTGGGAAACGCTGAGGAGCTGCAGTGATTCAGACCTTATCTCACCACATTTTTGGCATTGTGAGCCTGATTTCAAGTCTTCTATTCAAATCAGGCAAGCAAGAGTGGGGAAAAGAAATGAGATGAGACTGTTATTTTGGGTTCAGTTCACTGCCATAAATCCTGGGTGGTTGGTACAGTTGACATGGGCTGTGTTTCACAGAGGAGGTAACGATGACAAATAAATAAACCAAGTGGACTTGATGCCATTAAGTCTGCCACAAA